AAAAAAAAAAAAAAAGAAAGAAAAGTGAAATCAAAGTTGCAAACGATACCGCTATCGCATTACGTGGAATGAAAGGTCGAGGAAGTAAGGTCAAGCTAAGAGAACGTTCAAGGTGTTCGAGCTTTCGCGTGGAAAGCCAGTTCGATAGAGATAAAAGGAGCAAGACGATCCTCTTTACTTTTCCTTCTTTTTCTCTTCGCGAAGCTGAGTCACATCTAAACTGTAAGCTTCGACTACGTCGTCCTCTCTCGTCGTGCACATCGAGCGTGGCAGCAGCTTAATCACGTTCCTGGAGATCGCAAACATACCACGTACATATATAACCGATGCTCGGTCAATTTGTTCTCTCAATCGCGATCTGAGCGTCGCTAGGAACAGAAATCGCTATTCTGGCCTTCGATATATCCTTCAGCCGAGGAACGTTGATCTCTGCAACATGTGGACTACATTCGTGGTAAGAGGAGATTTATTATATGTAACAATACGAATTTTTATGCAAATCCATAATTTCCATATTAATACAACTAAGAGAATATTTCAAGGAGCGATTCATTTTATTTGATCAAGAATCATAACGAAAGCTCAATTTTTTATAAATAATTTTCGCATAAATGCACAACAATCCGCAGTCTAGTGATAACAATAATGTATTTATTGATTATTAATTGATATAAGTATATTAATATTAGATATTATGATATAATATATAATCTGAGTATATTAATATTAGATATTATGATATTAATATTAGATATTATAATATTATATTAATATATTTATAGATAATATTTTTATAGATAATATATTTATAGATAATTTATAGATAATATATTTATAGATATTATAATAGTATATTAATATTAGATATTATAATATTAATCTAAGTATATTAATATTAGATATTATGATATCATATAACATAAGATGTTATGTATGTCGGATAAATCCGAATCCTTTCATGATTTCTTTTTCAAACTGACGTAAATTAGATTTCTTTTCAATTCTGTTAAACGATATTGGATATTGCGAACAGTATCGCAGAAGATATAAGAAAGCTAATAAACTAAAAAAATGTTGGAAAATTCTACTAAGTTGAGTTATTTGGGTGTATCGATCCTTTATAAAAATGTCATGCAAACAAACTTATTGAAAATAATGTAGATTATGTAACAAATACGCAACAGAAAATATTCAGTCGTTTCTGAGATAATGATTATCTTAAAACTGCGATAAACGCAGATGTAATTGAAATACGAAATTGTCTTCGACGTTGCATTTAAATTTCATTCTCAAACTCCTTTAGCAGGTTCTGTTTGTAATAGCGTCCTTCGACATCAACTTCGCGAGATCATTGAACGCGGAGTCATCCTTAAGGCTATCTGATCCTAGCGTATCGAGATTAAGGAATGTGGAAGACATACCAGCCAGACTTCCAAGGAAATTCCGTGGAAACAGTCGTACTAGGAGATTACACATAGAGAATCAGCATGGATTCGATGGAAAAGTGGAAAAGATTCATATCAATTCCGAGGAGGATGTTCCAGGAATTCGGGCGTACGGAATGCAGAAGAAGAATTTGAAGAATAACGGCCATATTGAAAGGACGATACAGGAAGATATTACGAAAGAAGTCGACGATGCTTCGAGAGCTGCTCGTTCGGTATCTGAAAATCTTTCTCAGGCTTTTTGAATTTGTTAATAATATCGAAATAATTTCGTTCAAAGTATTATTATTGTTTTGCCTTCTTTTAAGCCTTCATAAAAAAGATTAAATCCATATTT